CTGCCACTTCGGCTTCTGCTCTTACGAGAATGTCTGCTTCGAGAGCGAGATCTTGAATGACTTCGACTTCTGGAATAGGACCAGCGTCGCCTAGAACCTGGCTTGTCTTCAACCAACCGGATTTTTCTGCCATTCACTTCAGTTCCGTCTAACTTTTCTAAAGCTCTTTTCTTATCAGAATAAGATAAAAATTCGATCACTCCTTCATTTTTGCGTCCCTTATGAGCATCTGCATAGGGTACTTCTCCTGCTTGACGCATATAATCCTTTAGGTCTTGCCAGCTGCACCGACTTGACAAATTCTCCACAATAAGTCTGTACTCTGTTTGGGTAGGCGGGCCATACTTATCTCGGCCACTTCTTCTATAACCATATCCACTGCGTCCAGAACCGTAACTGCCATCTCGACGTGGGCCTTGGGCATGTTCAACAATTACTCGTTCACCACAAAGGTCTTTGCCATTCAGTTCATAAACAGCATCATCTGCATCACGCAGATCATCAAACTCCACAAAACCATATCCGTTCTTCAAATCCACCTCCAGGATCTTCCCGTAGCCCTTAAAGAAGCGCTCCACATCGCGCTCCCAGGCCTGGTAACTCAGGCCGCTGATGTACACTCGAGGCGGCCGGTGAAGCAAGAGCGCGGCGGCAGCGGCAACAGGCGGGAGGCCCTATGTTGTTGTTTTTGAAAACTTCTGGCATGCAATCTCCAAGGTAATTTCTGTCAGCAAGGTCATATTTTCCAACTGCCAGTCGTTCTTTGTTTCCAGCTTTTGCATTCTAAACACTACTTATTAAGTCATCTTGAATGTATTTTTAATAAATTTTTAGATTATGGAAAGCAATAAAAACTTTCATTTTCTTTATCTTTGGTGTTAGTATTTAATATGTAAATGCTAATAATCATCATATTCACTGACTTTGCTTGAAGGTGTATGAATAGTATCCTATCACTGACAGTCTTACTTTAACATAGGTCTTGAACTGTTCTTTTAGATGAAAATGACAGCATTTCTCTTAATTTTGTCATTCCCAGCATAGTAGACCAACCTAATGTCTGGTTCACAATGACCAATATCCATTCATTTCAGCTCACTAATTGCCTAGGGCATCGATCTTGTTAATATCATGTTCTTTTTGATAGCTTTCAACTTTCCTAGATTCATACAGTCATCATTTAATTATTAATGGGTATTTGCAGCTGGGGATTTTTTCTCATTTTGAGTCATACCACAGCAGCAGGTGAAGGTCCTGCAACATTCGCAACGTCCATGTCAGTCAGCTATACCTGGAGGAAGCAACTCTTGCAGTTATACTTCAAGTACCTTCCAATAATGAATTTACATTAAGGTAATAATTTGTAGTAAGTGGGGGGGGAAGGCAATTCCTACTTAGCTAAAAATTATTCTAGTTCTTAAATGGTAGATATACCTGGTTTTAAAATTGCTTTTGATATCCAGAGTTCAACCATGACAATGTCACCTGGAATCCACTTGCTTTCTCTCTAAGCTTTTTATTACCTTTTAGGCTTCTCCCTGCTGAGAGCATCTCCTTTCCATTCATCAAATTTCTTTATCAATTTGTTGTAGTGTATGATCGATTACATGTTTCTGTGATACTAGCTGGGTCATCCACAGTGAACAGGTTTCAGAAGAGCATCTAGACTAAGACTGACTGTTGTTGTTATGTGTCATCGAGTCACCTGTGATTCACAGTGACCCTGTGTACAACAGCCATAAACCGGGCTCTGAAAAAAAAAACAAAACAAAACAAAAAAACCCTGCTCTGTCCTGTGCCAACCTCACTCTTTCCAACAGACCCACCCAATTACCCCAGTCACTAAATCAGTCCACCTCATAGAGGGCCTTCCTCTCCTGCGCTGTCCCTCCACCTTCCAAAGCATGGCGTCCTTCTCCAAGGACGGACCCTCCTTGCAGCATGTCCATCCAAAGTATGCCAGATGAAACTTCAGAATCCTTGTCTCTGTGGAGCAGCCTGGTTTAACCCTCTCTAGGTTGAACATGTTTGTTTTCTTAGCAGTCCATAGTATATTCAATACTTTTCTCCAACACTACAGCTCAAAGGCATCAATTCTCCTTCTGTCCTCCCTTGTCATTGTCCAGCTCTCTGATGCACAGCAAGTGATTGCAAAGATCATGGCCTGTATCAGGCAAACCTTAGTCTCCAGAGAGACACTATTGCTCTTCAGTACTTTGGAGAGGTCCCTGACAGCAGATTTTCCCATCACCAATGCATTTTTTAATTTCCTGGCTACTGGTACCAAGAGTGTTGACTGTGGAGCCAAGCAAACTAAAGCAGTTAACAATCTCAATCTCTTCACCATCCATCCTGATGCTACCAGTTGGCCCACTTGTGAATTTTTTTGTTTTCTTGATAGGAAGTAAAATTGGATATCTACTTCTAAAATAATGGACCAAAGAAAATCATATGAATAGCTGTGGGAAATTGTCTGATACAGTGCTGGAAGGTGAGATTCTCAGATTGGAAGGCCTCTGGGGTAGAAATGCCTCCTCGAGTAGAGTGACTTTAATGGATGGAGTAAAACTTTCAACCAAGGAAGGCCTTCATTTACTGATGTGTTGTGACTCAGAATGACGAGAAACAGCTGTAAACATCCATTAAAAATAGGGCCATAACAATTACTGTAAGTATTAATCTAAGTAAATGAGAAATTGCCAAAAATTAAATTATGTTAGGTGTCTTCACAATCACTTGTTATGCATCAGAGAGTTGGACAATGACCAAGGAGGATAGAAGGAGAATTGATGCCTTTGAGCTGTGGTGCTGGAGAAGAGCATTGAGAATACGATGGACTGCTAGGAAAACAAACAGATTTGTCCTGGAAAGGGTTAAACCGGGTGGCTCCTTGGAGGCAAGGATTCTGAGGCTCCGTCTAACTTACTTTGGACATGTTGTGAGGAGAGACCGGTCCTTGGAGAAGGACATCATGCTTGGAAGAGTGGAGGGACGGTGCAGGAGGGGAAGGCCCTCTACGAGGTGGATTGATTCAGTGACTGGGGTAATTGGGATGGGAGTGTCAGAGACAGTGTGATTGGCGCAGGACAGAGTGGAGTTTAGGGCTGTTGTTGTACATAGGGTCGCTATGAGTCGCAGGCGACTCGACGGCACATTACAACAACAACAACTAGATGTCATTGAGTCAATTACACCTCCTAACAATCCTGTAAACAGCAGACCTAAACCTTATTCTATTCTACACTATCCTTACAGTCTCTGCCATTCTCAAGTTCATTGTTGCCATTACATACTTTCCCCAGCCATTTTTGAACGACCTTCTGCAGTATTTTGCTTGCATGCACTATCAGTGATATTGTTTGATAGTTTTCACATTCAGTTGAATCACCTTTCTTGAGAATAGGAACAAATATGGACCTCTTCCAGTCTATTGCCAGACAGGTGTCCTCTGAATTTTCTGGCATAGACTGGTGAGTGCATCTGAGGCTCCATCTTTTAATTGACACAAGATCATTGGTATCCCATTGATTCCTGGGGCCTTATTTTTTGCCAGTGTCTTCAACACAGTTTCTACTTCCTCCTTCATTACCATTGTCTCCTGCTCACATGGTACTTCGTGAACTTTTTCAGTGTCAACCAGTTCTTTCTGGTACAGTGACTGTGTGTATTCCTTCCATATTTTTTATGCTTTCTGGGTCATTCAATATATTGCCCAGAGCATCTTTCAGTATTGCAACATGAGGCCTAAATTTGCTGTTTAGTTTTTTCAGCTTGAGAAATGCAAAGTGAATTCTTTTCTTTTTATTCTACAATTCCAGCTCTCTGAACATTCTACTATAATATTTTGCTTTGTCCTCCAGAGCTGCCCTTTGAAATCTTCTTTTTAGCTCTTTCACTTCAATGTGTTTTCCTTTTGTGTTGGCTTCTCAATGCTCCAGTGCAATATTTAGAGTCTCTTCTTACATCCATTTGGATTTTTTCTTTCTCCTCTGTTTTTGTAGTGACCTTTTGCTTTCTTCATGGATGATATCCTTGATATCATCGCACAACTCAGCTGGCCTTCGATCATTGGTGTTCAATACCTCAAACCTGTTCTTAAGATGATCATGAAATTCAGATGGAATTGATTCAAGATCATTTCTTAATTCCTGTGGACTTATTTTTATTTTCTTTGCCCTCAATTTGAACTTGCATATGAGTAATTGGTGCATTGCACTGGGAAAATCTGCAGTTAGGGACCTCTCCAAATTATTGAGGAGTAATTATGTTAGTTTGAAGACTAAGGTGCATCTAATTCATGCCATGATTTTAATGATTACTTGCTATGCATCTGAGAGCTGGACAACGAATAAGGATGACAAGAAAAGAATTGACACCTTTGAGCTATAGTGTTGGAGAAGAGCATTGAACATGCCATGGATGGCTAAGGGAAGAGGATGGAAGAAGGATGGGCAATCTCCTCTGTGCAATTAACCTCTGAAAACCCACTGGAGGGTCAGCTATGGATTGGTTCTGACTAGACAGCACACAACAACATATTTAAATTCTTTTGGGTTTTGTTTTATATTTACTTTTCAAATACCTACTTGTAGTCAATACAACACAAATAAATATCTTTCTGGTATTCTCTCCTTTCACCTATAATCCATCTGACATCAGCAATAATACTCCTAATTACACAACTTCTTCTGAATTCAGCTTGTATTTTTGGCAGTTCCCTATATTTAAATACTCTTCAGCAACATTTTACTTGAAATGTGATATTATTAATACTGTTCAATAATTTCCACACTTGTTGGATAATGATAACCTTTTCTGGAAATAGAAACAAGTATGGATCTCTTTCAGTCAATGAACTGGGTAACTTACTACAATCCCAGAGGTGTGCTGTTCAAATCCACCAGATGCTCTGCTGAAGAGGGAGGAACAATCGCCTCCTGTACCAGTCAGATCCAATTTGACGGTACACACATAAAATAAATAAATAAATAAAAATTTAAAAAAGAAAAAAAATGAACTGGGTAACTGTCTTCCACATTTCTTGTACAGAGTAGTGAACATCTCCAGGGCTGCATCTGCTTCCTGAAACATCTCCTTTGGGGTTTAATTGATTCCTGGGGTCTTATTTTTGTCAATACCATTAATGCAGCTTAGATTTCTTCTTTTGGTACCATTGGTTCTTCATCATAGGTACTTCCTGAAATGAGTCAATGTTGAGCAATTCTTTTCGGTAGAGTGACTCTGTGTAGTACTTTCATATTTTTTTGATGTTTCCCACATCATTAAGTGTTTTACCCATAGAATACTTCAGTATTAACACTTGAGGCTTGAATTTATTATTTCAGCTTGAGAATAACTGATCATGTTCTTCCTTTTTTGTTTTCTAAATCCAGATATTTGCACATCTCATTATATCTTGCTTTATTTTCTTTTTTTAAAACATTGTTTTTAGTTTATGCTGGTTTGCATACAAAATTGTATACATTGTGCTTAGTTTATGTACACTGTGTTTTACATATTCTTGCTTTGTTTTCTTTAATTCCCTTTAAAATCTGATTAGTTCTCTTACTTCATAATGTCTTCCCTTCATTTTGGCTTCGTAACAGTCAAAAGCAAGTTTCAGAATCCCTTCTAACACCCATTTGGTCTCTTCTTTCCTGTAATTTTAATGATT